TTATTTCGCAGTTTCCTTAAATGATGTTTAATTTCATCCGGTGTGAAAGATATATTGTCAAGAGTTTTAGACAAACGTGGGCACATTATTTGAGGAATGGTATCGTTAGATTCATCTGTAAAAACCTGAGAAAAGAATAACGATAAACATTCCGAAGATTCGTTATTCGAAGAACATAAAGACCCATCAGCTTTTTGAAGTAATGGTATGGAGACTTTAGAAGATAAAGATGTACGAATGTACCGATAAACTTTTTTACTATTACCACTTGCAATGATAGATTCTTCAAATTCTGTTCTTAACTTTAGCAAAGATTGTTTGACTCGGTTAGAAAAATTACGGTGGGCGAGAAAATCATCAGGGAACCAGTGAGTTTATATCTTCGCCAAAGCTTTCGCTTATGTCGAATTAAATGAGTAGCTGAGAGGTTAATCCAAGGTTTTAGTCGATTTCTATATAGCTGCCGTTCGGTTGTATGATCAGAAATTGTTGTAATAGCAGTATGAAGAAAAGAATCCCACATTGACGATGGATCAGAGTGATTAAGAAAAATAGATTGCCAGTTTAACTGGGATAAAACTGAATTTACATTAAAGAAATTAGTAGTGGCATACGTTACGAAATTATTTTTGCAAGGCGGTGTTAAACTAAATTGAATGTGAGCAGTAATAAGCGAGTGGTCAGAAAGACCCACAGGAGAGGACACTTCAAGTGTAGAAATTAATTCATCGTCATTTGTGAAAAATAAGTCTAAAATTGAAGGATTATTGTTGGCTCTAAACCTTGTAGGTTCAGTTATCAGTTGTAATAAATTTGAGTTCATGATAAAGTTTTTAAACAAATTTTGGGAATTGATAGTATCAGTTTTGGAAATAATGGGCCAGCTTATTTCTGGAAAATTGAAATCAACAACAATAAGATTTTGTTTAAAAAGAAAGGCTTTTAACCAATGCGTTTTACTGGTTCTTACATATGGTGCAGAAACACTGACTCTGACAAAAAGAACAATAGATAAAATAAGAGTTACACAACGCGCTATGGAAAGATCAATATTAGGTATTACCATCAGAGATAAAGTACCAAACCTAAAAATAAGAAGAAGAACAGGAGTCACAGATGCAGTTGAAAAAATAGCCAGGGCTAAATGGGCTTGGGCCGGACATGTTGCCAGATTAACGGATGACAGATGGACCAAAAAGATTCTGGAATGGCGACCAAGGCAAGATGCATATCGAAGCAGAGGACGACCACCGACTAGATGGACGGATGATATCAAGCGCATCACCACAAACTGGATGCAAGAAGCTCAAGACAGAAATAGGTGGAAAATTTTACGGGAGGCCTACGTTCAGCAGTGGACAAACATAGGCTAATTGATGATGATAATACTTACACCACCCTGTACTGGCCCGTTTAGAGTTTTGTACCTATATTCCAGTGGCCAAACAGGTGCATAGTAGACAATTCATAGGGATATGTCACTAAGTGTGAACTTAAGATGGATTTAAAAAAATAACAAAAATATATAAATAGTTTATTTTTATTATTACACATATCTATAATTATCATTTATTCTCCTCCAAACTTGAAAATGATAATCCTTGTATATTATTATTAAGGCACTTATAAAATACTTTATTTGTAGTAGTGTATAATATATAAACTCATCATTTATAGCAGCAATAAATAGATAATAAAATATTTCAAATATTACAGATCGTATGTACAAAGTAAGTCTAAGTGTTAACAATTTAATATTTATTGGTAATGCTAGAGATATACGCAACATATGTCAGTTTTAATTGTGGCGCAAACATAATTGTTTTAATGGAAGTATTTCAATATTCGCACGTTTAATTCGATATCATTTAATTGGCGCGCAAATGCCTCTTAAAGGCCGCGCATTTCAAAGCGCTGACAATTTAAGGTTCCTAAAGTGGTACATCCACTGCGGCGTCAGTTATTTGGCGCATCTAATTGGCACGGTGTTTTTCTCACCGCCAATTTGGCGCAATATTTGGCTGATGATTTGGCGCTACCATTTTTACGTGTAAGAAGTAGGGGGGACAAGGAGGGAGCCTCTACGAGATCAATAGTGCCACATCAACTAAACACTATTGACAGCTTCCCCTGGAAACGTCTACTAGTAGACGGCTAATCCTTTTAACACCGGACCAAACCAAATTAGATGGCAAACATCAAGCCACAACGGTTCTTCTCAGAGCCAACACTAACAGTAGCGAGCATAAATATTGAGGGCATCACTACAGCCAAACAAGACATCTTATCAGACTTCTGCAAGAATAAGAAATATGAGGTATTGTGCATCGAGGAAATCCACAGAGACCTAACTGCAGCGAGACCGAAAGTCTCCGGTATGAAACTGATTGCAGAGATACCAAACAATACTATCAACAATATCTTTAAATTGTTAGACTACAAGCTATACCATTCAGAAGGAGATTTAACTTCAAACAGGCAAACTGCAAAAGTGTGCAGACATGCTAGATTCTGAGCTGCTACGTCTTGAACCAAAATTAGAGATATTGTAGAGGTACTCAAAAATGTTTCTAGAAAAGCTATCCCCAGAGGATGTAGACAACAATATGTTCCCGGGATGTCCAACAAGTCCAAAGAACTAATGAGAACATACGAAACCCTCTATTCGACTGACCTTTTAGACAAGAAACGGTTGACTGCGGAGCAGTACTACTTCAAGAGCTAAGTCAAGCCAGACAGGAAAAGTGAATTGAGACCCAGAAAAAATGCACATGATACATAGTAGCAAAATAGCATGGAACCTTGTAAAAAACTTAGCGGTGATCTAAAAGAACATAAACCACCTTGCAAGGTTACAGCAAACCAAGTCGCTGCTTAACTCCTTATGAATAGAAGAACTACGAACCGATATAAGGACCCAAACACTAGAAGAAGATTGGATTCGGAGACAAACCACATAGGAACTCCTTTTACACTAAAAGAACTCCACGACGGTATAAACAGGTTAAAAACGGGAAAGCTGCAGGTGTGGATGATATATGCAGTGAACAAATAAAGCATCTAGGCCAAGGAGCAAAAAACTGGATCTTGCAACTTTATAACACGTGCTGCAAAGCCTGCGAAATTCCAAAATCATGGAGAAAATCTAAAGTAATAGCCTTGTTAAAACCAGGAAAGGACCCAGAAAATTCCAGTAGCTACAGACCTATTTCACTGTTGTGTCACTTTTTTAAACTATACGAGAGACTCATACTCGTCAGAATAGAAAAAAATGTCGACAAGCACCTCATCCCAAACAAGGAGATTCAGACCGGCAAATCTTACACCGGTCAAGTCCTCGCACTAAACATTGAAGAGGCTTGAAGAAAAACATAACAGGGCTGCTTTCGTAGATTTGACAACAGCCTATGACACAGTAAGTACAAAACATTGCGCAACTTATTACGACACTCTCAATAACCACCATCTGGGTAAGGTCATATATTCCTTACTGCAAAAAAGACGTTTTTTCGTTTTTTTATGCTGAAGGGTAAAGTAAGTAGGTGAAGAGTTCAAAAAAACGGCCTCCCACAGGGAAGTGTGTTAGCACCAATGCTCTTCAAAATATATACAAACGACCAACCTACGCCGAAACCAAGCACTTCCTCTATGATGACGATCTTGCAATATGTGCTCAAGGAAATAGTTGTAAAGAAGTGAAGGAGAAACTCGAAACTGCCTTAAAAATAATGACAGCGTACTACCTGCAGAACTACCTGGGACCCAATCCCTCTAAAATCCAAGTCTGCGCTTTCCACCTTCACGCAAGGACAGCCAAGCAAAAACTTCAAATTGCGTGGAATGGTAATACATTAGAACACACAAACCAACCTATATATCTTGGTTAACTCTGGACCGGTCTCTCACCTACAGACAACAGTGCATAAAAACGAGAGGGAAAGTAACAACTAGAAACAGCATACTCAGAAAGCTAACGAGAAGTAAATGGGGTACACGTCCTGGCGTTTTAAGAACAACGGCACAGGCACTGTGTTTCTCAACTGCTGAATATGCTTGCATCGTTTGGGGTAGATCTGCCCACACCAAACAAGTTGATACCGCGCTAATTAAGACATGCAGGATAGAAACGGGGTGTATGAAACTAACGCCACTCCCAAATCTATATAAAGCAGCGGATTTTGCGGAACCCTCAATACGCAGAGGCGTTGCAGAACACGCAGAGAAAATTAAACAGATCGCAGGCGAGCGGCATGCCCTATACAAAGCTCGAACACCACGAAAGCGACTAAAATCCAGAAAAAGCTTCCTTGGAACAGTGCAGGATGAACCCAACGAGTATTTTCCTCTTCTTCTGGTTCAATGTACCGGCTAGTTCCTAGACTTTCAAACGTGGAAACCTATGAACAGGATAAGAACGGGGGTCGCTCCAGTAAAATCAAACATGGCAAAATGGGAAAAAATAGACCAAGATGATCTGCGACTGTAGAGAAACACAGAATATAGAAAATCTTCTTACATGCAGAAACGATCCTCATCGATGTACCCTCGAAAATTTGTCGCTCGCCAACAAAGATGGAACCGACGTAGCCCGATACTGGGCCGAAATTTTATGAATGTCCGGACACAATCACGTAAAGTAATTACGTGTAAGATATTTCAAAGGCAATTTTTCTAGCTAGCTAACTTTGATTAAAAACAGCATTAATTTAATCATAATTTAGGTTTTTTCGTGATAATGCTACTCCACAACGGTTTTTTTTTTATAAAAATTAACATCCAACGTTAAGAATTTTATAAGTTATATAGTTATCGTCACAAATATCTATAACAGTATTTTAATATTTTTCAAAAAAAACTCATAGCTTTATTTCTTCTCATAGCATTGGCACTACAACTTCGTATTGTATTGTGATACCGTTCATCTTCTATAACTTCGCAATCTCCTTTATAACTTCTTTAGTTAAAATTCATGTTATGTCAACAGATTAAGTATTTAAACTTCACGGTTTATTTGCATCATTCTTAGCATCCTGTCTACGTCTTCTTCTGCTTCTGCACAAATTTAGAGCAAACATCAAGCAAGAAATGACGAAGAATATACAGTAAAATACGCCCATTGCTATAACGGGGTTATCATAGTCGTAAGTTAAGTTGTCAGACTTTAAGTAACCAAAGCTCTTTAGACTATTTGTTCCATTTGGAGGTGGACATGGTAGTTGGACTATAATATCCTGGTGTTGAATCTGGAACAAAGTTTTATGATTTTATAAAAGCACTATTTAAATTAGCGATCAATGTATGAAAACCAAAATCGCAAAAATCACGTTTTACTTATATTAAACCTTGTTACCTGTTTATTTCTGCAAAGTGTCGTTATTGCCCCTTGTAAACTCTGTATGGCTTCTGCAGAAAGTTCCCTGTTGAGTAAATATGGTATAAGCCACTCGCTTGGGCTTATTTTTTCTATCCATTGTAAATATGTAGGAATATCTTTGAGGTGCAATGAGTATCCAGCAGTTAGGAAGAATGCTGAGAGTGCTGTACCGCTGAATATTGTGGCAGTATTGCTTAAAGGGATTGTGTATATAAACGCCATCAAAAATATTTGAATACAGCTAAGATATAATAACATTACTCCTGAAAAAAAAATGGCATATAGGTATAGAAGCATCACTGTGTTTGCTTACAAGTTACAAACATTTTAATTACCGCTGAAAAAGTCAGTGGTAGTCAGAATGTAACAATTCCTTCGCATATTTCGTAAGAAAACTACAATTGTTGCATACATATCAAAAATCTTACCTATGTAAATATAGAAGCCGTCATAATTATTCAAATGCTGCATGTATAAACCAGTCATAGAGTAACTAGGTACTACATAGATCAGCCATACAAACAGTGATGGAAATAAATTGATGATGGACTGCAAATAGTACAAAAACAATAAATTACTAATAAAAATGGTTAAGATAAAAAGATATAAGAAAAGAATTTAAATATATGTCAAAACTAGAAATAACTTTAAAAATTCAACAATTGCCCTGGAAATTATTTTACTAATAGAAGTAAACTCGACATTTCAACTATGTTTAAGACAGTATTATTCGAACTTCCGAAGCGATAGGTCGAAAATAATAAGCGCCCAGTGTCTTTTTCTACTAATTAACTCGATTTTAAATTAGTACAGGTGATTCGAAGTTTGGCATTAACTCAGTGTAATAAATAAGTCTATAAGCGACTCCCCATGGAGGAGGCAATTTCCCAGAGACGCCAATAGGTGATTTAAACTTTTCATGTGTTAGTGAGAATAGTGAAATGCTATTAATGAATCCAGTTTAATCGAAAATTTTGATGATTCGACTGCGAAAAATGCGAATAAAACCAGCGACTGTACTACAATCTTGCCAGAATCTGAAACAGCGCAAAAAACAGTAGCGATAAATTTTTTCAATGTCAAATAGGATAAGTACAACTTTAATAGTGTTTATGTTTACATAGAAAAAACAAACAATTAAAATATAGGTCGTTTACATCCTTTAACTGTCTATATACTTCCTCTATGAATACTTTCTCTATGATATTTTGCATAAAAAGTTGAATATTCATAATATTATTGAAATTAAAGGCATTGGAAAAAACAGAACTTTTGTTAAGGTCAATCTCTGATGCAAATAATTTGGTTAAAAATTTAAAGCTAATTTGGTAGCTTATATTCCTAATCATCTACTAGAAATTAAAGGTCTAATCAGAGATGTAGATATCCAATACGATGAAAATTTATTAGATAACAGTGAATCTTCCTCCCCTATATTAGGTTTCAAACGAACTTTTAGAAGGGTTGACATGGAAGAAAAACTAACTTTAAACCGAAAAGGACTGTAATAGTCACTTTTGAGGGAAATATTTTACCTAGCTACATTGCAATAAATAGTGTATCTTTTCCTGTGGAAACCTATATCAGCAAGTCATTCATTGTTATAATTGTTTGAGATTTGGACATATCTCCAAGCAGTGTCGGGGTACACAGGCACATTGCATAAAATGCGGAAAAACCAAAGATGAAGATCATGCTTGCCAGGATAATGATATTCAGTGCATCTATTGCAATAGTAAGGATCAAAAACGTAGTGATTGAGCAAAAAACTTCTTTCATCGAGGCAAAAACTTACTGTGAATCATCCTTCTCGGGATTGTTCACTTAGAATAGATATTCCACACTAGAAAATATCGGAAACAGTTTTCCTCCCCTGCCAACATTCACAAAAAATTCAACCCCTTCTGCTGCCACATAAGTAATCATGCGTAGAAACCAAAACATATCATCAAATAACACATGACAACCCTCCTCAGTTTTGTTTGTCTACTATGAATGTCTTTATGGGCCCCTAGATGAGAAGCAAGTGATCTGTAAGTTTTCTTGTCACATATTCTTTTTTTTTTTTTTTTAAGATAAAAATACGTTTATTGACGTTTCAATTTCCAATTCGGAAATCGTTCTCAAAATACAAACAGTAAATTAAATAAATTTTGTTTTTTGTTACATAGTGAAAAAATTCTTCTAATAATTTAATTTTATCTGACTCATTTATATTGACAATTCAGACATACATTATGCATTTTAAAGTAGACGACTTTAAAATGATATTGCCAATATTGTTGAGTTGCGCTCCTGGGACGACTTTACTTATAAGATAGTTCATTCGATTACATGAAATCAACTTTAACTTGAGAATATCCGTCAGAAAAAATCATAGCATGTAATTCGTCTTTAAAAAGACAAACACATGACATGATGACAGTAAAATTCTCCTGTTAGTGATTCCATAGTAAATTATGAGGGAAAAACCAGGAAAAAAACCTCATAATACTATCCCGACATTGTAAGTATTTGTTCGTGAATTTAGTTTACCTTCAACAAACATCAAAATTCTGATTTTATATGTTACGTTATTTAAAAAACATAAATGATGTATCCTCTATATGTTACTGACTTACTAATACTGGTATTTTCTTATTAATAACTTCCTCTTTCAATATTGGTAACCAGATCCTACTACATTCTGCCGAGGAATTTGCGACACAATTGGCCTCATTTAGCATAATTAGAGCCGCTTCTTTGATTTTCTTTTTTTACCATCTGTTTCTTTAGGACTATCAGAAAAGGATTATCAGAAAAACTTAAAAGGATAGGAAATAAATTCAACATTTCAACAACATTCAAAACAACAAACACGTTGAGATCTATTTTGTCCAAAACCAAACCTAACAATGAACAAGAAAGGACAAAGAATTGCATTTATAAAATACCTTGTGAATGCGATCAGTTTTATTTAGGTGAATCATCAAGGCCATTAAATGTTAGAATAAGTGAACATCAATCTTATATTAAAAATAGAGAATTTGATAGATCTCAAATATGTAAACACGCATGGGATAATGAACATAGGGTTCAATGGAATAATTCAAATATAGTCCTAAAAGAAACGGATGGTAAAAAAAGAAAAATCAAAGAAGCGGCTCTAATTATGCTAAATGAGGCCAATTGTGTCGCAAATTCCTCGGCAGAATGTAGTAGGATCTGGTTACCAATATTGAAAGAGGAAGTTATTAATAAGAAAATACCAGTATTAGTAAGTCAGTAACATATAGAGGATACATCATTTATGTTTTTTAAATAACGTAACATATAAAATCAGAATTTTGATGTTTGTTGAAGGTAAACTAAATTCACGAACAAATACTTACAATGTCGGGATAGTATTATGAGGTTTTTTTCCTGGTTTTTCCCTCATAATTTACTATGGAATCACTAACAGGAGAATTTTACTGTCATCATGTCATGTGTTTGTCTTTTTAAAGACGAATTACATGCTATGATTTTTTCTGACGGATATTCTCAAGTTAAAGTTGATTTCATGTAATCGAATGAACTATCTTATAAGTAAAGTCGTCCCAGGAGCGCAACTCAACAATATTGGCAATATCATTTTAAAGTCGTCTACTTTAAAATGCATAATGTATGTCTGAATTGTCAATATAAATGAGTCAGATAAAATTAAATTATTAGAAGAATTTTTCACTATGTAACAAAAAACAAAATTTATTTAATTTACTGTTTGTATTTTGAGAACGATTTCCGAATTGGAAATTGAAACGTCAATAAACGTATTTTTATCTTTAAAAAAAAAAAAAAAAAAAAAAAAAAAAAAAAAAAAAAAAAAAAAGAATATGTGACAAGAAAACTTACAGATCACTTGCTTCTCATCTAGGGGCCCATAAAGATATTCATAGTAGACAAACAAAACTGGAGGAGGGTTGTCATGTGTTATTTAATGATATGTTTTGGTTTCTACGCATGATTACTTAAAAAAACATAGATATTCTTTTATTAATTATCCGTTAGTTTTCTATTAGGGATAGAGTTATGCATTTGTCTGATTGGAGAATCTATTGCAACTGGCTGAATGACTAATGTCAATGCCATTAAAAAAAACTATGTTTAAAATCACATAGCTTCCCAGCCTTCATCTATTTCTTTCTCTATGAATACTTTGTCTGTCTGCTCTTTGCACCAATGAGCAAAATTTCCAAAGTCATTCCTAATCTTGACGAGTAGTTTATATGTATATAAATATGTATTTTAGCAATCTACTTACTTTTGTTATGATATAGGTAACTCTCCCATACAGCCCATCTTTAATATCTCTCTCAATGACCTTTCTATTTCTTCTAACTTCGTTGACAGTCATCGCCAGTAACAATGGCCAATGTACTATGCACATGACACTGTAGTGGTAACCGTACCTGTCGTTTAATATAAGTTGAGGATCGGTTGTAGGAATATCCCAAAATATGGCGCCAAGAATTAAGGACAGACTAGCTGAAAGGATTATTACTGTGAGCCAGTTGAGGAAGGTCACGGGTTGAGTGTAGATCATGGATTTCCTTGAATATAAAGAAAAATTAATATGCTTAAAGGATTTTAACTAATTCTTTAACTTTTTCTTCTTAATAATTAATCGTAATTCTTAATATACTTGTAAACATAAGGTTAATACTTACGTAAACAAAGCAAATGACGCTACCAAACAATTACAGTTTCGTACAGTGAGTGGCAAAGATGAAGGAGGTCCTGGGTCGCTTAAGGGTTCCTGTTTTTGTCTAAATATCTCAGCCAGCTGTTCAATTCGTTGTGATGATTCTAACATAGCTTCCGCAGCGAGATCGTCTAAAGTCACGAGATCAACTGGAAAGGTAAAATTTGTATTAAAATTATTATAGTAATCAATGAAAATATCGCTATATTTCAAGTTGGGCATAATTTATACTTTAACAACCTATAACAACTATAGCATTTCTTCTCCCTTTGTTTTAGTGGTTAAGCAATCTTTTATCGGGTAACTGATGATGAGCTAAACCGGTCAAGTTAGTTACAATAAAATCATGGTTTTTATTTTTACCTTTAGAAAATAGACTAGGAAATATTTGCAAACAATACATTATGTTTATAATAAGTTCAAATTTTCATTGACATGTAAATATACAAAAAAAAACAAACTTACGGTAATAGTCTGAGGGATTTTTGAACGCCGGACAAGGATACTCAACTAAAGCAAAATATGGCAGCATGTCCCGTCGTCTTCCACTATACATAGTCCTACCCGCCGATACTAATAAAATTCTAGACAGCATAGTAAATATCTCGTAAGTAGGGGGATGCATCGTCAATATCACAATACGCCCCAAAGTACTACCTGCCCCACCGTTCGCCCACTGCTTCAAATATTCGACTAAAAAAAAGGTATCGAAAATGTCCATGCTTTTGGTGGGTTGGTCTAAGATTACAATGTCCGTGTCGAGGATTAAGTGACACGCTACGTTCAGTCTTCTTCTCTCTGAGATTGTCATCATAGATACCTTTGTGTTTCGGACTTGCTCCAAGCCTAGATCGTCTATTAAAACGTTTATCTGAAAATTACATGTCAATATTAGTAAAAATCAACGCCAACAAGAAAATAAGTAAGTTATCTTAACCTGAAAATTCAGTACGATCTTACTAATCTGTAGACACCATCTGGAGTCCATATCCTAGAGACACAAGTGTATCTCAAACAAATAAAACCAATGAGGAAGAAGGATCATGTAAACTTTATTTATATTAATTAGTCTTGGACTAGCAGCGTCGGTGCAAAAAGGTCCTCGATTTGTTCTTCTTTATACTGGAAACGAAACTGTTTTTATGGTATAGGTCAAATAAACTCTCTTGGCCAAGAAGAGAACCGCTGATTACCACGACAAAATAGACAAGGATCTATATGAAGAATATTTTGAGAAGACGTTAATTCCAAACTTGTCGAAAGACAAAGAAAACGTTGTCGTTTTGGATAACGAGTCATACCACTCTTGCAAATTTAATTTATTGAAAAAATTGTTATTTTTGATTTTCATTTTTTTTGTTTAAAAAAAGGTTAACCTCTGTGCGGTAACATTTGTAAGTTTTTTGTAGTATCTCCAACTCCTAGAGTTTGTAAATGGATTACATGTAAGTTTTTTGTGTTTTTGTATTTTGTGACTATTGAGGTAATATTTTTGTATTGTCTTTTTTGAGTATTCTTGTATTCTCTATGTTTTGTAACTGTTTGTGGTAAGACAGCAATAAATGTTAAAATTTGTTTTCTTAACATTTTGTTTATTTTTTTAACTAACCCTTTTTGAGTTTTATTTGAAAAAGATATGTTTTTTATGTTTAATAATTATTTCCCTAGTTAAAACTAGTGTTTGTAGTAGGTATAATTAGGCACCTCAAAGTGGCGCCCTATATTAAATTACTAGAGGTGTTTCCTGTTAATTTTTGTTTTTTGGTTTTGTTATTTTGAAGAGATTACGTTAGTACCCCTTTTGTTTTTTTCTGTAGTCGCCCAATCCGACACCTTGCCATTTACTTATCCACGACCCCAGCTCTCCTAACAAACTCTGAGTGCCGTTCGCACAAGTAGCGTTTATTTTGCTTACCCTATCTCAGTCCCCATAGTTTCTGCCCCCAACTTTCAGTCCCCATAGTAATACCCCATGTGGTAGGCAAAATATTTTCGTTACAACGTGCGATTACGTTGAAACTGCTTAAATCAATTTTAAGGGTTGTCATCAAAGTGGAAGAGTCACCGTACACAGCATTCTTTGATTTCGCTGTGCGATTTCCCTTCCAAAAACAAAAATCGAATCACCGATCGATATTGCTCTTTTTCCATTTTGCTAAAATCCTCGGACACGCCCGCTTTTACACGCGGTCGAAACAATATTCGACTGAAATTTTGAGATTAGCCGTCTACGAGAATGTATTACACGATAGTAGATTTCTCTTCAGATAGTTGCGCCATCGACCGGTTAGGCTAAGTACTTATCGATATGCCGACGTACATGATTAAAATTTAAAAAAAAATACAATAACTGCATGCATAAATATTCCACATTTGATGTAAAAACAAAATACCAAACAAATTCCCAGCAATTACATGACATAAAGAATATAGTCGTACGAAAATACTCACCCTATCCATAGATTCAATTTTTAAATAGCCTAATTTCTCTGTAGGTTTCTTAAGATCATAATGAAATCTTAACGTCTGTACAACTGTCATATCTTTACATAAATTCAAGTCATTTTGGACGTACGCTACCCTAGATTTCAAAGTATGTGCTCTGACACTATGTCCATTCAAAAATATTGTTCCTAAAGCTGGCGACGTGAACCCAGCAATGATGTCCAACAACGCGGTACCTTCTTCCTCAGAAGTCGTCATGATGGCCATTATTTCGCCTCCTCGAATTTCAAATGATATTTCGTTAAGAAGAAGGTGTTGTCGAGATTTGGTGCAAGACTGAGAGGTTGGGAATATGCCTAATCCATGCGCCTGCGATAAATGTGAAGCGTTAGAAATTTTCAATAAAAATAAAATAAGTATATATGAGGAGATTTTTTACAAAACTGCATAAATCCACTTTTCAAACATTTTTAGGAGACGTAAAAACGTGCTGCAGCTGTTGTACTAAAATTTTCGAAATTTCAGTAATCGTAATTAATTGAGGTTAGATTTAGAGAAATAAAACGTTAAATAACATTATTTTTAATTATTTGCATTAACAAAATATAGCCATGTGTCTGTTGGAGATATCCATTTTGTAAAAAAAGATGGAAGATATTAACTTTTGTCAAACTAACAATATCTTAGAAATAAAAAATATTAAACGGTACCCACTAAAACAAAAACAAAATGAGGAGTACAAAAAATTTAGATGTGAATATTTTTTGGCTCATCTACCAAGCAATCACTAGTAACTTTGTGTTGAAGAGCATTAATATACCAATGAAGATCAGGGATCTCTTTCCATTTTGCCCAAAGTGGATTTGCAATAAATAAAGGATATCTTTTTTTAAATACGCAGGTCGAAATACGTATATGCGGCTTGTCGCTGCTCTGTATCGAATCAAAATCTAATACCGTCATTATGTTTTATTTCTTTACTTCGTTTGGAGTACCAGAAATTGAATTCACTACGAATTTTGGACCATGATGAACGGCATTTGGAATGCAATTTTAGATTCCCTTGCCGATTTATTCATCAAGCTGTTTGCTTTGCAAGTTTTAGAAAGCACGGTGGCTGATATTTGAATTCGATTTCGCCAGGTAAAAATCGTATGATTTCTCTTTTTGACATCTTTTTTTCTCTTAAGTTATTGAATGAGATAGTGGGATTTGGGGAAGAGCCTGAAGAAAATCATTTTTATTTTTTTTTACAATGCTTCTAAAAGTTTCTGTTCCACTATCGAACCTATAGTTGGCGCAGCATTTTATTTTGGTTGAAGTATGCCGGTCCCTTGTTTTGATTTTCTTAATAATGAGGCGTTTGGTTTGGCTGATTCCTTTTATTTTTTGATAAATCATTTCAAGGCTTTTGATATCGTATATCACCCAGTCTTGTCCCAGTTTCTGTACAGAGCCAAACTCCTCGTAAATAGAAGCATACTCTTCGCTCGAGATGATGGTATCAGTTTTTTTCAAGCGCTTCTCCACACGGCCAAAAGCTCGATCAGCTGGAAGAAAACTGTGGCCACGAGTCGGAAAGGTTACATGAATTTTCTGTACATTCTCTGGAGCCTCATTTTTAAGCCAATGGCACAAAACATGAACAATATGAGCATTTTTATTTTGGCCAGCGCAACATCACAAAACAACGATACTGCAGAAAAAGACGAAAGATCTTGGCGTCTTAAGTGATGGATGAGTGCAGATCCGATTTCATTTGCTCCTCTGCTTCCCTGCGTTTCATTCCACATATAAAATGTTGGTGCCTTTGAGTCAATAGGCACACAGCAAAATGCATAGAATGCAATTTGTCGGCGATAAAAGGCATCGCCGATTGGAGTTTTAGGGAGTGGGTGCACTTGTTGCAAATCAAAAACAAAACTATAAGTATCACTGGGAACTTCCTTCATTAGTTTGTAAAACGCATCCGCTCTCAGCTTGTGAATACGAAGTTCAGTCATTGGACTAATTCTTTCAACTGAGCCGCGAGCGTTTTGTTGAATAAGATATTTAAGACGAGTGCACGTAGCGCATGCGTCTGTAGCTGGAGAGGAAAATCCAATGTTAAAATCGGTTACAAAAATACGGTGAAAACATGAATAGCTCACGTGCAAATCGGCAGTGTAAGCATCCTTAAACATTTTATATAACTTATTTACACTTAACTCTGCTGAAAGGTAAACTCTCTTACTTTTTCCTCTTCCATAATGATTAATTACTATTAAACTGGGAATAAGCCACAATTAAAGATAAAAATACGTTTATTGACGTTTCAATTTCCACTTTGGAAATCGTTCTCAAAATACAAACAGTAAATTAAACAAATTTTGTTTTTTGTTACATAGTGAAAAATTCTTCTAATAATTTAATTTTATCTGACTCATTTATATTGACAATTCAGACATACATTATGCATTTTAAAGTAGACGACTTTAAAATGATATTGCCAATATTGTTGAGTTGCGCTCCTGGGACGACTTTACTTATAAGATAGTTCATTCGATTACATGAAATCAACTTTAACTTGAGAATATCCGTCAGAAAAAAAATCATAGCATGTAATTCGTCTTTAAAAAGACAAACACATGACATGATGACAGTAAAATTCTCCTGTTTGTAAAAAAAGGATAATCATTTTTTAATAAAACAGATGTTAACAAATGTTTCTCCTCCAAGAACGAATTTTCGTTGGAACAAGTAATTTTGGCTCTATCGTATAAGGATTTAATTATTCCCTTTTTTACATTAATATTGTGATTTGATTTAAATTTAAATATCTATTGGTGTGTGTTGGTTTTCTATACACCTGAGTCTCATATCCAGTATCGTTCTTAGAGATTAAAACATCCAGGAAAGGTAGCGTGTTATTATATTCCTTTTCCATGGTAAATGTTATTGTCTCTTCTTTATCGTTTATATCATTTAGGAATGTGTCCAACAACTCTGATCCATGAGGTCATATTGAGAATACATCATCTACATACCTCCACCATACTGTGGGTTTTAAATTTTGTTTAGAAATGATATTTGTTTCAAAATCTTCCATAAATATATGGCTAAGAATAGAGATAAACTAGAGCCCATTGAGCCCAACAAACACGTTGAGATCTATTTTGTCCAAAACCAAACCTAACAATGAACAAGAAAGGACAAAGAATTGCATTTATAAAATACCTTGTGAATGCGATCAGTTTTATTTAGGTGAAACATCAAGGCCATTAAATGTTAGAATAAGTGAACATCAATCTTATATTAAAAATAGAGAATTTGATAGATCTCAAATATGTAAACACGCATGGGATAATGAACATAGGGTTCAATGGAATAATTCAAATGTAGTCCTAAAAGAAACGGATGGTAAAAAAAGAAAAATCAAAGAAGCGGCTCTAATTATGCTAAATGAGGCCAATTGTGTCGCAAATTCCTCGGCAGAATGTAGTAGGATCTGGTTACCAATATTGAAAGAGGAAGTTATTAATAAGAAAATACCAGTATTAGTAAGTCAGTAACATATAGAGGATACATCATTTATGTTTTTTAAATAACGAAACATATAAAATCAGAATTTTGGTGTTTATTGAAGGTAAACTAAATGCACGAACAAATACTTACCATGTCGGGATAGTATTATGAGGTTTTTTTCCTGGTTTTTCCCTCATAATTTACTATGGAATCACTAACAGGAGAATTTTACTGTCATCATGTCATGTGTTTGTCTTTTTAAAGACGAATTACATGCTATGATTTTTTCTGACGGATATTCTCAAGTTAAAGTTGATTTCATGTAATCGAATGAACTATCTTATAAGTAAAGTCGTCCCAGGAGCGCAACTCAACAATATTGGCAATATCATTTTAAAGTCGTCTACTTTAAAATGCATAATGTATGTCTGAATTGTCAATATAAATGAGTCAGATAAAATTAAATTATTAGAAGAATTTTTCACTATGTAACAAAAAACAAAATTTGTTTAATTTACTGTTTGTATTTTGAGAACGATTTCCGAAGTGGAAATTGAAACGTCAATAAACGTATTTTTATCTTTAATTGTGGCTTATTCCCAGTTAAATAGTAATTAAAGGAGGATCTTGTTGTAGGAAAGTTGTATAAACAAAATTATGGAATAGAGTGCTATAGAAAAAAGAAAGTGGCAAATGCTTGAATAATAGTTAGAGATGAAGTAGACGCAGCAATGGAAAAAAGATCCTCAAGATAAAAATGACTACACAGGAATGGTCGAGAGATGGCATAAAGTAAAAACTGTGGAAATGTAAACAAATCTAAAAATTAAAACAAGAGATACCTTTAAAGAAAATAGCTCTTGAGCTTACATCTAATGTCGATGTAGAGAAAAGAAATCGATGTTTGTATTGATATTATTACATTATCTATTTTTAAATATTTATTCGCTTTTATAAATATATTGTCGATTTCTAGCAATTCTTTTATATAATATTTCTTTGATAATATTAGATCATTATTTTCAAAGTATACCTGTAAATGTGGAAACATAAACGTTGTTCCAGATTCATCGTCCTGATTGAGGTAATCGGTTCGAAGGATAGATGGCGGTCCTCTTCGCGAATGAGGCACAGAGAAATGACTTTCAGCTTTGGACATTGGTCTTCCCATATGACCCATGACACTAAATAAAAAAATATATCAAATTTTATAGAACAACAGTTTTATTAAGTATTAGATAATAGTAAAACATTATAATTGTCAATCATGAGGTTTATACGCACAATTTATACAAACCCCAGCTTCGAGTGACATGTGTGTTCTATGGAATAGTAGGACCTACATGCCTGAAGATCAAACCGGTCATACTCCATAATGGAGTGGTACCTATCTGAACCACAAGCTATAATCACCAACCCCTCCTTATCGCAGGGCATAACAAATGAAAAAGCTTTTGAACTAAGTGTTCGTAAAAAATGTCAAAAATAAAATTTACCACAAATTTATCTTTAAAACTTTTAACATGAATTTTCAATTTTTAGTTTTGGCAAAAAATTTAAGGCATTTAAAGATGTCTAAAAATGCAGACTTTAAGCTGAATCTGAAATATTTTTAGATTAAGTGTAAAACAGAGCAAAAAATATTACAAAAATATATAAATAGTTCACTCAGAACTACATAATCCAAACAGGGAAAACAATTAAGCACTTGGGGTGTGATTACCTATGATCCACGACGTCATGGTTGTGTCCATAATCAGCAACACTATTTCTTCGAGGATCTATTAGATGACGCTCGCTATTATGAATTGATCTATTATAACCTAACGCCAAGAGGTTGGCTTCCGAGATACTCTTATTTCTATTCCATTGACTGTTTGAGTGTCGTATATCACCTTGGTGCATGGCTGCCAACGGGATTCCAGGACTCGTTTGCTGAAATAAAATAAGTGTACAACAATATTACTCTAAGAGTTGTTTTATGTAATACTTAAGTTTTTTTTCAAATAGATTTTAAGTATTTAAGAAAACATAATAGAAAGTAACTAATGGAAAAGAAAAATACGTAATTTGAAGGATAAATGCTAATTGTTTATAAAAGACCTTCAAGTATATAACAGTTAGGTACACAATAACTAGATAACCTAAGCGTTAGCAATGAATCAAATATGCATAACTATTTTCTTTGATCTAAAGAAAGCCTTCAATAAGTATTGTAGATTCAACATCATTAAAAAATTGCACGCACCCAATAGTAGAGGACACTGCTTAGCCTATATAAAAATTTGTAAAAATACTTTTCTTTTCAAGTAAGAGTTAATAACGTTTATTCTGATTTTTATACTGCAGAAAACAGTACCCCACAAGGCTCAGTACTTAGTCCTACCCTATTCTTAGTTGCCATAAACAACATATAAACAAATTACATAAACCTCTCATAGCTTGCCTCTATACCGACGATTTAGTGGTGTACATTAAAGGAGAACAAAATGAATCTATGTGCAGAATAGTACAGATATTTTTAACCCAACTAGATGAATGGACAGCTAGTACAGGCTTCGAATTCTCCGTTAAAAAGACAACTGGTATAGTGTTTACGAAAAAATCATCCATTACACCATTCCTTTATCTTTGCAACAGCATCATTCCGTTCCAAAACTCCATAAAATTTCTTGGTATGTCTCTAGATCAAAAACTTTTCTGGAAAAAAAACCACCAGTCTAGGGTTCCGACTCTACACTACTTCTTCTGTATAAAACACTAATTAGATCTAAACTCTTTTCACACTTCACTCATAGAAAGCTTATATTCCGAAACTGGAGAACTATCATTGCAGTATAGGCGAGCACTTTTAACACTTTCATGCGCTTCTTCTGTAGCTGCTAATAAGGATCATCCACTCTTCGAAAATACTTTTTCTAAAAATAATCTTGACTTTCTCTTTAATAAACCTCGTACTAGAAAACCTTATTACACACGAGTAAGATCAATTCTGAATAATTTTGACACAACAATCCCAGATGTATTTCACTGTAACATCCAACATTCGACTCCATGGTTAATAAGCATCCCAAATTGCAACACCTCTCTAATAGAGTTCTCAAAAAATGCAATAACAACATACTAATCAAAAACAAACTAAACGAGATTCTTGAACGAGACTACCTTAACTGCACAAACATCTTTACCGATGCCTCTAAATCTAATGATGGCATTGGTTGTGCATTTGTTACTCCAACGTCTACTTTCAAATTTAAACTACCGCCTAGCTCAAGTGTTTTCACTGCTGAACTGTTTGCTTTGTACCGTGCCTAAAACATGCAAACCTCTCAAGAATTTCAAAACCTCTGTTTCTCACCGACTCGCTCAGCTCTCTTCTTGCAATACAGCATCTGTATCCTAAACAGCCCTTGGAGCAACTAATAAAAACTAAACTACAAATCGCCCAAGAGAACCACATAACTCCTAAATTTATATGGATCCCATCGCATATAGGAATTATCGGCAATGAAGAGGCAGACAGTAGTGCTCGTGATGCAGCAACAAGTGCGGAATCTGAATTAGTGCGTGAGAGTGTATGTAAAGATCTCAAAACGTTTTTTAAACAAAAAGTGATTGGTCAGTGGCAGCGCGAATGGTTTCTATTGCAATCTAAATTAAGATCGCTAAAACCAGATACACGACAGTGGAAAACTAGTGCTAGTAACGGTTTATTCAAACGGTTCTAACGCGCCTACGTATAGGACACACTAAGATCACACACTCTTATTTACTTTCGGCCAGTGAACGCCCCTGTGCGACCTATGTGCTACGCCTCTTACCGTCGTCCATTTGTTAATTGAGTGTCCAAAATACCATAGAGAACGTTCAATAAACAATATACCAAATACTCTACCAGATTTATTAGGAGAAAACTGTCACGTAAAAAACTTAATTAAATTACGTAAGGTCAATCAATATTTTGTATCAGATTTAAAGTTTTGTTTACTGAGTAACGCCGCTAATAACCTATTGGTGGATGCAGTAATGTTTCTTTTTAATAAAAAAAAATAACTAATTATGCACTATACAAGTATCTAAGAATTGCCCACTTATACAGTAGGAAAATATTATATGCAATCAATCAAAGCAAGTTATCGGGATGATCTAAAAATCTGACAGTCTGTATCTGATCACTGGCATCGACGAAAAACATAGGATGCGTTTACCTTCTTCTCAACTACAGCAGAAAATATGAGACTCAAATGAAAGAAGAGAAACTTATCATCTGAGCAAAGCTAAAGAGAAAAGGACTGATAAAAAGTTGTATTTACGATGACCTTGGCTATTATTATTATATATCTAAATACATTTAAAATTTCCAGGGTAAGGCTCTGGAGAGCTCTGGAGACAGATAGGGTTAAGACAGAGTCATGTCTATATAGAAAGAAGAAGAAGAAGAAGAAGAGATTATATATATATATATATATATATATATATATATATATATATATATTTTATTATATAGATATTATTATATATATATATATATATTATATATATATATATATATATATTATAAATATATATATATATATATATTATATATATATATATATTATATATATTATATATATATATATAAACATGGTTGCAACTAAATTAACTCACAATAAATTACGAAAAAACTAAATATATACCTTTTGCAATATATAAAAATTCTCTGCCAACTTTTAACTCATTAAAAATAAATAAAAAACAACAAATATTTAAAGCAGGATACATAAAATATTTAGGAGTTTTAATTGACAGGCACCTTAAATGGGACTTACAAATAAAAAATATTATAAGAAAAATAAGAGGACTGTTACCAAAATTCCGCTATTTAAAAGAGTTTTTAGATGTTGAACAGCTTAAAATGCTTTACGTGTCTTTAGTACAATCTCATCTTGTATATGGGATTTTAGGATGGGGTGACGTAGCTGATTGCCATCTGGTGACCCTTCAAAATACTCAGAAATGGTTTCTTAAACTAATATATGGAAAACGAAAAACATATCCCTCAGACCAACTTTTTCATGAAACTCAGGTTCTTGATGTTCGGCAATTGTACTGCTTAGAGCTACTTAAAAATATTCATAAAGATAAAATACCTCTTAAAGTAAAAGTGTCAAATTATGAAACAAGAAGAAAATTGAATGTTGAATGTCTTCATACTTCAAAAACAATCACGCAACGGTCAATTAAATATTTTGCTCCAAGAATATACAATCAATTGCCCATAAATTTTAAAAATATCAAAAATTTTTATTTGTATAAAAAATTAGTTAATGCTTGGGTAAAAGAAAAAAGGGAGTTGTGTAACAATTTAATAAATTTAAATTATACTAGATAAAAAAAAACGAAACAAATTAGATTAGATTAGAAACTGTAAAAATGAAATAATAATTTATAAAAAAAACATTAAACCTGTTAATATTAGACAGCTTAAGTCAACAAGCATGTTAATGCTTTAAAGACTTTTTTTTACGTTTATGTTACTGTAAGTAAACTGAAATTGAAATTGTAAATTAATGTAATACTTATGGATTTGAATAAACGTATATTATTATATATATATATATATATATATATATATATATATATATATAATATATATATATATATATTATATATATATATATATATCAACATAATTTGTTAAGACTGTATCCTTACCATTGTGAGTTCAATCACATTGAACATATTTGGGGAGTATGAAAAATTTATAATGATAATTTTATTGTACGTAAGGGTTAGACAATACAAATGAAGATACCAACGACAATGATTATGAGTATGGCTGTAATTCTTAATGATAGTGTAAAATAATATGTTTTCTTTTTCTCTTTAAGAAATTTTGAGTGGTATTATTAATATTTTATTAGTAGATACTTACCAATACAATTAAAAAATAAGAGAATTTACAATTTTCTTCAACTTTTGCACTAATAATTGTATATTTCTCTAAATTAGTGTAAAAGACAGTATCAGTTAAAACCGTATTTTTGCTGGTCTTCGATAGTGCTTCAAATATTTTAAGAATTTGGTATCCACGTTCTCAGCTCAGCGAACCGGGTAACTCAAAGCTTTTATGCCTAATACAAAATAGTTGCAAATACATGAAATATACTATATATAACTCGTGTGGTCGCGAATTAAGTCATTACATAATATATTATTAGTTAGTAGCTCATCTTACCTCAGCGTGATACACACTTTGATTTCTAAAGTCCGGATCCGATCGGTATTTTCGATTTTGCTTATAGTTGTTGGTTGTTTCATTGTCAGAACTGTCATATCCAGAACTACCATCTCTTGGTCCGTGACTTCCTACTTTTGAACGTCTAAAAATGGAAAAATGCCATAATATTTTAAGAATTGACAAGAAACACAAAAGATTATGACAATGTAAACAGCAATAAGTATTTTATTATTACCAAAGAATAGAAGCTTTTGGATGACAGATCAGATACATGTATCAACTAATGGAAACAAAATTTTAAGATATTTTAATCAATCGTAATAAAACTTTTTAAATTTAATTGTTTTACGTTCGTTCGAATTGAAATTAGAACAATGCCGAAACGTGATATCGGTAAAACAATTAATACAATAACAACTAAATGAGAAATGTTTTTGTAAATAACATTATTTATTGCAACTGGCCCTGCACTTTGTCATAACTATCGTCATACGACCTATCTCGGTTGTTAACACGTTGAAGTTTGACAATAATAGGTTACTAAAATTTACTTCTCTTAAAGATATATAGTCCATTTCCATCATATTGATAGCACATTATGTATGCAAATCCCTAAACTGTTGATACGGGTGACTCAATGAAAAATAGATATTTGTCAACAAGTTTACAGAAGTATATAGGAAAACAATTTTAAATTGAGTATGACCACCAGGTATAAAGGTTGAAGCAGAATAGAATACAATAGTTTTGAGGGTTACTAATCCCTAAATAAAGTTGCCAGTGTCGGAGTGATGGAGATTAACAGGTACTAATGAATTTGCAAGAAATGTAAGATGTTTATTTTATTGGTTATATATAAAATAATTTGTGGCCGTAACAGGGGCCGATTTGTAAAAAAATGAATATTATTTTAATCAAATTCCATTTCAGATTCACTGCTTTCTTCAGAATCTAAGGAATCTTCAACTCCAATGTTAATTATTACCGGTTCCAGCATTGCATCAGTCATATTATCCAAATTCCACATTTTATTTTCTTCCTTGTGAGCATGACTAACAGCATTTTTCCAATTTTCTGGAGTTACTTTTGATAAGGAATGTTCTAATAATTGTTGTAAGTCTTCTAATTTAAAAGTTTTGTTGTTGCGTCCGACTTCACCCTTTACTTGAGACCATATATTTTCTATCGGATTCAGATCACAGTGGTATGGGGTAAACGTAAAATAATTACATCACGGTTTAATGCCATTTCATCAATTATATATTTTTTATAAGCTGCTTTATGTTGCCTTACAATAGGTAATAATTCCTTTTTTGTCGAATTCTCCTTGTACTCAATTGCGTGTTTATCCAACCATTCGATTATCTCTCCTTTTTTCCATGCCGTTGTTGGCAATTTTTCTGCTAGTCTTGAATGGTAACTAGCATTATCCATGACTATGACAGAATTTTTGGAATTAAATCCAACATTTGCTCAAAATATTCTTCAAAAACGTCAGCAGTCATTTCCTCGTGGTAATCTTTGGTTGATTTTGAGGCAAAACTTAATAATCCACCATTGACAAAACCGTATTCGTTTCCAATATGGGTTATTATGAGTCTGCGTCCTTTTCCAACGGGAATATTGTTTATTCCAGTAGATACACCTTCGATGAATGCCTGACGGGAACTTTTCACATTTGTATCAACCCATAGATATGGTACAGTATGACCTTCATTTAGCCAAGTCTCGTCCAAATAAAAAATTGTTTTCTCTTCTTCTCGGTACTTTTTAATAGTTCTTAGATAATCTCGTCTCCAACATACAATGTAATCTTTTTCAATTAAAACGGATTTTCTTCTATTCTTTTGCCAACGAAATCCCATCTCTCTCAATAGTCCCCATAATTTCTTGTTGCTTATGATTGGTAACTCTTCGTTTTCTCTAATTAATGTTTGGATTTTGTCCAATGTTGGAAATTCTTTGTTAAAAAAAATGAGTGGACGCTGCGTCTTATCATGTTTTTATGTATTTCTTCAATTTCCAAGGGTTTACTCCCTCCACTCTTCTTGGGAGATGAAACAGTTCCTCCTTTTCTTTCTTTTAGGAATCTATAAATTGTTGCTTCTCCAACCCCTGTCATATTTGAACACATGTTAACGATTTCACGAACATTACTTAAAGGGCGTTGATGTACAAGTGCATCGTGTACATTTAATATTATATTTTTCTCTCTTAGACTGAAGGCACCTTTAAAACTACACTTAACCGGGATAAAACCTGTTGTCGACGTCATTTTTAAATGCAAATAACAAAATATCGACACCAAAAACGTAGGTAGGTAAGACATGAACAATGTACATCTACAAACTAAATGGAAGATGCAAACAATTTCTAATTTATATTATTGGCATAAGCTGTAATGTGGCATAAAAACTACTTAAACTATCATTAGTGAAGCCTTATCAGTAATTCCAGGTAATCGTTCAAAGAAGGTATTCTTTTTGTGTCAGGCGATAACTTGTATAGAAAACAATAATCACCTTTAAATTACTGTTTACATTAATTTATTTCGTGAAACATTGAATTCTCTCGTTAATCACCCGTGTATAATTAACAATAATCGTGTGGCATATATACCGACGTTTTTTACGCACAAAAAAGGTATAGTGAGATTAGTGGACACTTATTTTACAGAAGATTTTTTAAAAGATAATGAATTGTTGACGGCATCTTAAAATATTAATTTTTTTTATTTATTTCAAAACAAGTATAGGGTGACGCCTATGGTTTTTTGACCTGTTGAGGATTTGCATACATAATGTGCTATCAATATGATGGAAAAGGAGTATAAGCCTTAATATTAGAAGACGATATAGTAGGGGAGACTGGGGCTAGTTGACTAAAGGGGTTAGTTGACTTATTGCCTCTACCTCCTCTAATGTGCAACAGATGTCGAATGTAGATACAATATCTGAACTGCAAACTCTTGCGCCTCCATTTTACAATATCGCTCTTACGGTTGCTTATGTTTTGTGTCGGTAAGAACGAGAAATCTAGAATCATCCTTGGTAAGTAATTACTTTGGTTCCCAACATTTTTGTATGATTATCTATAAAATCACTAAATAAATGTCACTAAATATTTTTGAGAAGTAACATATATTGACTCTGATTTGACGTGATTTATTTATATCTAAGTTAACGCATGTCTATCATACGACCCTCGGAATGACAGGGTAACATATGGGGCTTGTCAACTATGCCTTGCCGGGGTTTATTGACTTGGTCGACAAACCTCATCATGTAATTAACTTTAAAAAATTTGTAAACCAAGTTGGCATTTTACAATGGATTAAGTTGATAGTGATATCGAGGCATTTGGAAACTATTAGTATTTGTTATATTGCATATGTTTCTTCAAATGTAAATCTATATAAAGCACTAATCGTCTTTATTTTGAAAGCGTGTGAATTTGCAAGCATAGGATATTTGGAACATTGACGAGACAGGTAGAAAATAGTGACACGATGTGGCTTCAAGCAAATAGGCAAACTCACGTCCGCAGAAAGAGGAACCTTGTAACCCTCACTGTTGCAGTTTTAGCAAGTGGTAATACTGTGCTTCCGTTCTTCATTTTTTTATGGTAAACTACAGGGATCACTTTATTAGAGATGGACCTGTCGGAAGCCTAGGCGATGCAAAGCTATCAGATAGATGAAAAAACAACATTTTGTGAAATTTGTCAAGCATTTTCTGTTTCACACAAGATTTTTAAGGAGCGCCCTATACTTTTGCTGTTTGACAACCTTGAATCTCACCTTTTTCTCTCGATCTTTTAGATATTTTTAAGGAAAACGGAGTAACAGTTTTTTTTATTCCTCTGCACTGCTCGCATAAATTGCCGCCACTAGATAGGAGTTTTCACACGAACCCCTAAAGAAATACTTCAATTCAGCGATGGATAACTGGATGGTGAACAATTCAGGTAAGGCATTTTACATATATGATGTTCTTGGAATTAAAAATTTGAGTCTTCCGCCAGTTGCTACGCTAACCAATATGATGGATCGGAAATAAACCAGGAATGTGGCATTTGAATGAGGGTATCTTCACAGAGAGTGACTTTTTGCCTTCATATGTTACTGGAAAATATCGAACTTAGTAGTGAAGTTTGTTTCGGTTCGTAAATGCCCCTTTGTCCGCTTCTCGTCGATCGATGATGATAGGGTTAATAAATGTTGAAGTTGTGGAGTAAAAGTAATGATTTATTGACAGCAACTCGTAATTACACAATATGGTGTTCGTTCGGTAACTACTCAATATTGACTGTGTTTATTTGAACTCAAATCCCCAATTTATAATCTCACAAATAATAGATTCATAAGCACCTGAATCTATAAAAGATTAAGAAGTTAAGAATAATGTGAGATTACAAATTAAGGGGTTAATTTGTGATTGAACAGTTACAGACAGGCCTACACCAGCAAAAAAGAAGGAAACGCTACCGAAAACAACAGAAACATTTTAACAGTGGAGCAAGTTAAAATTATGAAGAATCCACTGAAAATTCTAGAACATTTCGCAGATGTCAACGACAATTTGTCTGCAAAAACAGTCGCATAGAAAAATAGAACCTGCAAGTTCGATATTGCTTTCCTCTGCAGAAATAAGGCCGTTTCCAAAACCAAATCTTCGACAAAATTCGAGAAAATCACGGAAGAAAAGATAAACTGGTATTTTAACCAACACTTCGTTGAAAAGAACTCTCATGGAAGAACGGCAGAACGTGAAAGAAGAAAAAGATTAAAACATTAATCACCAGAGTTATTTAAAAAAAAATCTGGGGGCTACGCGTATATTTTCGTGTATTTGTTTTTATGACATTACTTTTAGTGATTTCGCATTCATAGAACCCTAAATTGATTGAAAAAGCCCTTGATTTTACTTAAAAAATATGTCGCTCAAATATGTCCGACGTGGCCTCATTCCCTTTGAAGAAACGATGTTAAAGGTGCAACTTTTAGAAATCGTTAAACAACATAAAGGCGAATATAATAAGTACATAGTAGATGAACTGGTAAGACGCACAAATAGAATAGTTTTAAGGTTGCCACCGAGCACAATCCAATCGAACGTGTATGGGCGGAAGTCAAGAATTATGTAGCATGGCATAACACAACATTTAAATTTGCTGACATTAAAAATTTATTACATGAAGCTATGTCTGCTGTAACCATGGAAAAATGAAAAAACTGCGTCAAACATGTAAAAAAAAGAAGTGGAGCCAAAAATGTGGGAGTTGGACAATTTAATTGAGGCACAAATTGAGCCTATCATTATCAACTTTAATGATGACAGCAGTACATCAGATTCTGAAAGTTAAGATAAAATACAGTAATTTTATAAACTTTTTTTTGTATACTTTATTTTGTTGTTAATAACTCTCGACTTTGTAAATCATTTTTATATTTAAAAAATTGGTGTACTATAATCTGTACCTGTCAGACGTCTACAACTTATATAAGGTTTTGTATTGCAGCTTTAATTTACTAGTCCGGCCCTGAACAAATGCGTGTTTCCAGCGTGCATTTGTTTCCATCGTCCGTAGCTTGAAGTTGAATTTACTGTAAGCGTAAAGGATTATCAATAGACGAATTATGAGCATCACTAAAAGAAAGTGATGATAGTGAAAATGATGTGAGATGTTTAGACTACGACTCATTCTTTGAACGACTCAAATTGGGAATCCGATCATGAATTAGATTTAGAAGAATCTGTAGAAAGCATGGAATCAATACTGCAAGATCTTGAAGCTGAAAAAAATCAAGAAATAGAAGATGAAGGTAAAGACGATTCGCAAGAAGTAACAGAACCAGAATTGAACACTGTTCCAGATACACCCAATTGGAATTTGTACGAGGGTCATCACAAACATTTTCCTTTTGCAGGAAAGCATGGCCTACAGGTAAATTTACCGAATACTATATCAGCTTACGAGACATTTTGTTTGTTTATTGACAATAAGGTTATAAATTTTATAGTCGATCAGGCAAATAAATATGCTGAAGCACAAATTATAGTGTATTTTTATGTATGAGAGAGTAATAAAACAATAAATTATGTATGCAAATCCCTAAACTGTTGATACGGGTGACTCAATGAAAAACAGATATTTGTCAACAAGTTTACAGAAGTATATAGGAAAACAATTTTAAATTGAGTATGACCACCAGGTATAAAGGTTGGAGCAGAATAGAATACAATAGTTGTGAGGGTTACTAATCCCTAAATAAGGTTGCCAGTGTCGGAGTGATGGAGGTTAACAGGTACTAATGAATTTGCAAGAAATGTAAGATGTTTATTTTATTGGTTATATATAACCAATAAAAGTTTAATAAGTACCTACCTATTTGCAAAATAAAGTTTAATTCTTTAGATAAAATAAAACGTTTTATTTTATCTGAAATGAGTGCATTCCACGAAGTAAGGGTTTCAACAATCAAACATTTAATTCTTTAATTCCAGGAATCTACGACAGTAATTGACTAGATAATTACCTTCTAAACTTATTCCACAGAAAATGTGATAGTGGGTTTTTCCATTTTGTAGGAAGGTCCAAGTGGCGTATTCAAAATTCTTAACAGTTCACTAAAAGTAGGTACTTCAGTTGCAAGGTGCAGTTTATTGTGTATACTAGTGTTATGGAAAATTTGGAAGTGCCGTGTAAACGCCGAAAAATTGGTCCTTTAACAGTTAATGAAAAAACATTAATATTTAATTGTTTTAAATCATTTACAGACAAACGTTTATGTGAAAGTGTTGATGAGACCGTTGAGTTAGTTAGCAGTACACTTGGTGTTGGGAAATCTACGATTTACAGAGTTATTAAAGAAGAGAAATGTGGTAGTTTTCAAATGCCACGTAATGCTCCAGGGAAACCAAAATTTCAAATAGAATATCATTTTAAAGAAGGACTTCGACGGAAAGTGCATGAATTCTTCTTTAGACAAGAATTTCCAACATTGGATAAAGTTCTTGTCTCAGTTCGAGATGATAAGGATTACCCAGAAATGAGTCGAAGTACGTTATGGAAACTTTTAAAAGAAATAGGCTTCCGCTGGAAAAAGAATCCCAGAAAGTCTATTTTATTAGAAAGAAGCGATATTGTCATATGGAGAAGACATTTTCTAAGAACCATAAAGGAAATGAGAAACCAAAAAAGAAAAATATTTTATCTTGATGAAACATGGATCAACGAGGGTCATACACCAAATAAATTTTGGCAGGATGAAACTGTTACAAGTCAAAGGCACGCTTTTGTAAATAACTTATCTACTGGTTTAAACCCACCATCAGGAAAGGGACGCAGGCTGATAATAGTACACATTGGCAGTTCAGACGGTTTTGTTGAAGGTGGTTTATTAACTTTTGAATCAACTCGTACCGGTGACTACCATGAAGACATGAACGCTGATGTCTTTCAAGAATGGTTCGAACAAATGATAGATCTTCTTCCTAAGAACTGTGTAATAGTAATGGATAATGCAAGTTATCACTCCAGACTTATAGAAGGACTGCCCACAACCAAGTGGTTAAAAAAAGACTTGCAGAATTGGCTGAGTTCAAAAAATATTACGTACCATCCCGGATCTATAAGAAAGGAACTTTATTCGTTGTGTGCCCTTCATAAAGAAAAATTTAAAAAATACGAAATTGATGAAATTGCCAAAAATCGTGGAATGACAGTACTTAGATCCCCACCATATCATTGTGAATTAAACCCGATTGAACTGGTATGGGCACAGATAAAGAGTGAAGTTTCAAGAAAAAATACCACTTTTAAAATTCATGATGTTAAACAGTTGTTTTTGGAGGCCGTAAATAATGTAAAACCTGAAAACTGGGAAAAGGCAGTAAATCACACTATTAAAGAAGAGGAAAAAATGTGGAAGCTGGACAATATTACTGATAAAATGATCGAGCCAGTTATTATAAATCTTGGTTCTGAAAGTTCATCTTCTGAATCTGATTTGGATTTGTAACAAGTAGCTGTAAGTTTTATATTAATATTTTTATTCATCTATTTAACATACCTTAGACGGTTTTAAAAACTCTTTTTCTCTTTTGTAATTTTTAAAAATTAAAAAAAAATGTGAATTTTTTAAAACCCTTTTTAATGTAGGCCAGTCAGTTCTAATATAGTGTGTGATAAAAGAGGTCACTTTTGTTTACATACACATAACACTTTATAACACTGAAATAATTCATTTATTTTTTACAATTATTCAAAGTAATTTTTCAATTAATCTTGAGCACGCCCATGGAGTGGTCGAAGGTACCAGTTAAAATTATGCTAATTACTCTCTCGTTCATAAGAATAAACTATAAATGTTTTAATAAATGTTTTAAACGACACTTTGTACGAAAAATTTGGGTGTCCGGTTAATTTTTCACTCCAGTGTATATACATACATTGCTAAAAATTATTTAAAGTAGAGATTTCATAAACTAAATATAAAGTAACTGTTTCTATTTTTTGCCAGCTGTTGTTTGTACTACCCAATTGTTTATAAATACATATAATTATATTATACCCACACTGTAATCACAATACACGCTTCAATTCTATGGTACCATCTAACGGTACCGCTATTAGTGTCTGGCATAGCTGTATTAACAATTGTTAATACGAGAATTTAAGAACACTTACCGAATGTTATGCGGTCTAGTGGACGAGTTTCGTCGAAAATGCTGTGGGGTACCGGAGCGATTAGAACCATTGTGGTTCGGTGGGAACACCCTGGGAAGCCCGAATTTTAAGTAAGTGTACATGTTGGAGCCGAGGGCTGACCTACAAAAAAACAATAACAACTATTTTATTGTACGCAATTTTATTTTTACGTAATATAATTAGCTAGATAATAAGTCCATAAAATACTTGCAAAAATTATTAGGAAAAGATTAATAAAATATGATAACAAAGTGGTTGGAGAATACCAGGGAGGTTTTAGATCAGGAAGAACAACTACTAAGCGGTGGTGGGCATCTATCACTTCCATAGGCCAGAGTGAATAGATGGCTAAGTTCAGGTTGGGACCCAGTTCTGAGGGGTATAACACGGACCCCTGTCTAGGGATACAGGTGAAGATCACAACGGTAGGAACAGCGGAGAAGAAGATCTTCGGTACGGCGTGGATGGCGGAAGTGGCATCCCTTGATTTTAGGGATCGTATAAAATCAATACTCTATTGTAAGACCACAACGGCGATGAAGGCGGATGAGAACAAAATCGAAACGGGGAAGTCGGCGGAAGTGGCAGGAATAAAAAACAAGAAGGGAAGATCGATCTCTAAAGTCCCGAAAGACAGTCGATCTAGAGGAAGAAAACATTGAAGAAAAATTACCTGGTCCTCCAGGTTGGGGGTTTAGGCGTCAAAGAAGCAGCAGAGGAAGCCATTGGACTGAAAACTAATTCCGCTAGTAAAAAACTTTGTTGGAATCAAGAAATTAAAGAACTAGTGTTTCGGAAGGAAAAAGCATACCACAAATGGCTAAACACAAAACAGGAGTTGGATAGAGAAGAATACAAAGATATTAAAAGAAGAACACGACAACTAGTAAACACAGCTAAACGAGAAATGTGGGACAAAAAATGCAAAGAGATAGACACATATATGGGAGGACAAAAGTTACATCAAATGAAAAAAGAGAAACAAACATACAATTAATAAGAGGAGAATATGGAGAAATGTCTCCAACTGAAATACACATACAGGGAGAAACGATAAACATCGATGAGAGGACTGTCATAAAAACGATACAACTACTAAAAAATGGTCGAGCCGCAGGTCTGGAGGAAATTCCAGCAGAATTAATCAAATGCGGCACTAACAAACTGTTTGAACGATTAACCTGGTGTATAAACCAATATTTAAACGGTGCACCAGTCCCGCATGAATGGAAAGTATCCTTCATATCATCTATACATAAGAAAGTAAACAGTATCAGTAACCAGTACCTTAAGTCGCCTATATGGAAGGATACTTCGAGACAATATCGAACAAGAATATAAGGAACAATCTGGCTTTAGAGCGGGAAGGAGCTACACCGATAATGTGTTTGTTTTAAAACAAATAATAGAAAAAAGATCAAGTACCAACCAAGAAACCCACCTTATGTTTATAGACCTTCAGAAGGCTTATGATACTGTACCCGCTAAAAAGCTATGGAAAGTTTTGCAGGAAACAAACATTAACCACACAGTAATTAACGCCCTTAAACAGCTTTATGAAGGATCAACGTCGGGAATAAAAATTGGAAATAGACTTTCAAAAAAATTTCCTGTAAACAAGGGACTCCGGCAGGGATGTTGCATATCCCCCACATTGTTTAAAATCTACGTGGCGAAAGCACTGTATCAGTGGAAGAGAAAGTGCAGAGGAATGGGCATTGACCTGGGAGAAACTTGCCTATATACCCTACAGTTTGCAGACGATCAAGTCCTTATAGCCAACGATAAAGAAGACATGACATATATGGCCAGAAAACTACAGGAAGAATACAAAAAGTGGGGTTTAGAACTCAATACACAAAAAACAAAATATCTCCCAATAGGCGCAGAACTATCCAACATTCAGATGGACACAACCGAAATTGCATTCTGCACTGAATATACCTACCTAGGAATTGATTTCGACACCACAGGCACAGACAATAGGGAAATTAGAAAACGAATAACCCAGGCCCGTAGAACAATTGGATGCCTTAACGGAGTTCTTTGGAGCTCAGAAATTGGTAAAAGACGAAAATACAATATATATGAATCTCTCATAAAAACCAGCTTAACCTATGGTACAGAGACATGGAGACTAACAGAAAGCAATAAAAGAAAACTCGAAGCAACAGAAATGGATGTATTTAGACGATCACTTCGAATATCTAGGGCAGACAGAATTAGAAACGATGAAATAAGGAATCGGATGGGGGTAGATGGATCACTGGCAACAGACATAGAAAGGAAACAACTTATATGGTATGGCCATGTTCAAAGAATGCCAGAAACAAGACTACCAAAAATCGCCATGAAATGGATACCACCAAATCGTAAGAAACGAGGAAGACCAAAAAGAACATGAAAGGAGGGAATAACAAAGGCAATGAGCTCCCGAGACTTGACCGAAGAACAATGGAATGATAGAAATTCGTGGAAATTAGGCATTGGACAACGACGCAAGACGTTTTGAAACCGATATATATATATATATATATATATATATATATATATATTATATATATATATATATATATATATATATATATATATATATATAACACTGTTCTTGATGGGTTGGAGTCATCAAAAGACTCCAACCCATCAAAAACAGTGTTATATTTTTTCCAAACGAGTCACAAGTACTTTTTTTTCTTATATATATATATATATAAGAAATAAAAGTTGTTCTATATATATATATATATATATAGAACAACTACTGATCAAATAAGTATGTTTAAATTAATACAAAATAATAGCTACGAACTTAGGAATACATATCGCACTATGAGTGCAATACTATCGAAGTCAAAAAAAAATTATTTTCAGAGATAATCGGAAAAAATATTTCATTTATAGCATTTAATATGAGTGCAAAACTATACTCTTCAAGTATAACGCTTATCGTTATTGTGCAAGACTATCACATTAGAGCTATGATAGTCTTACATGTAATTGCCATACGGTGATAAATTTGGGTATCTTATATCAAAATGTGATGGTGTTACACTCACAATACTTATGAAAAACGACAAAAATGCAAGAATTCAATGAGATATTGTAACCAATAAATGTGGAACATGGTGAGCAAACTAGTTAAATGTTGAATAAACAGCAAACATACAAAGAGCAGTCACTAGAAGACAATATTTTAGACCATAATATCGCAGAACAGTCAAATGAAGATCCGTTTTATACATTATCGTACGAAGACGAGACTTGGACACCTAACGAAACACCACAAGCTGCAAAAGTGGGCACAAAGAAATCAGAAGAATTAGGTGACGAAAAACGAAAATGTAGAAAAAGACCAAGAAAACCCGAAACATGGAAACGAAATATTAAAAAAAGTAAAGTAAATCAAGTTCATTCAAAGCTAGTAGAAAAAAAAATAATAAAATTAGGTTGTAATGAGAAGTGCAGTTTTAAATAACATTCAAATATTGACAATGCAAAGCGGCAGTTAATTGTCCAGAAATATTGAGAGCTAATACAAAATATGATTTTTATGAAACAGCGAAAAATAACGAGTAATAAGAGTATGTAAAAAGTTCTTCCACGATACTCTCGGAATTAGTGATATGATGTCAAGAACTGCTCAGAAGAAAGTGTCAGGTGAAGGTATTCTAGAACTTGAGAAAAGGAGAATCCATAACTAGCAAAAAAGTATTTCCAGAGAAATTCAACAAGATATCAGAAATCACATTGAATCTACACCACAATAGAATCACATTATTTAAGGGCTCAGACAAAAAAAGACATACTTTGAAGGAAAGTTGAATTTAAGCACTTTATATAAACTCTATGTGGAAATGATCAACAAATTAGGAAAACCTGTTGCCAAATATTTTTAACTATATAATATAGGCTTGTTTAGTCAAAAAAAGACCAATGCGGACTATATGAAACATGTAAAAATTCTTCGATAATCGAAAAAAAATGACATGCAACAAAGTTATGAAGAGCATCTCCGTAACAAAACAATTACACGAAAATAAAAAAAATGAGATACTGCTCTAGCCAAAGAAAACCCGAATCTTATGGTGGGAGTGTACGATATGCAAACAGTTTTACCTACTCCGTACTCTTTGGTGACTTTTATTATAAAAGTTAACTTGCAACTATTAACTTTACTGTTTACCTTTAATATTCCAAGTCAAATTGGCTATTGTTATGTGTGGAATGAATCAATTGGAAAGCGAGGAGCTAACGAGATTGGCAGTTTCTTAATAAACATTTTAAAGAACAACATCAAGACACTTACACTGATATCATATTTTATTCAGATAATTGCTGCGGACAAAATAAAAATAAATTTATTACAGAAACACACCTTTATTTAGTCAGTACTTCATTAAATATCTTCACATTAACTTTATTTGATTTGCGATAGTATTGCACTTATATTTTTATCGATTTTAAACAAGCATATGACTTCCTATCGATGCTATATGAGGCCATGAGAACATTAAAAATACCAGAAAAGGTTATAAGGGTAGTGAGAATGACGCTTAGGAACACGATGAATAGGGTAACAATGAAGGGAAGCTTTTCAAGACAATTCAAAGTGAATAGAGGTTTAAAACAAAGGGATCCTCTAATGAAATCGTAGGCTTCCACGGCCAGAGTCAGAATTATAGTTTATTCGTCTTCCGGGTTTGGACCGTGTCATTTGTGAGTGACCCAAAAGTGGGTTCATCTCGACGTTTCGCTACAATTGTATGTAGCTTCTTCAGGAGAACAAAGAAAAAGAAAAACAAAAAGACAGGAAGATGGGTAGTTAGCAACGGTAACTCAGTTACTCAACGCAACCAGAGGCGAATACTAACTACCAAGATGGGCATTTGGTCACAGTAACTCAACTACTCAACGCAGCCAGAGGTGAAAACCAAATGCCAGGACAGGGATTCACGTCCAACAGCTCAGAACACTAACGCGTCGAGAGGCGGGGAGTGAATCCGACGATTACTCCGCTACCGCTCTATTTATAGTCGCGGTGACCTGTCGTGTCGGGACGTATCGGCACACTCCGTGGCGCGAACGTCAAGAAGCGCGCGCTGGCCAATCATGTGGCTGCA